TTTTTTTTTTTTTTTTTTTTTTTTTTTTTTATCACTACTTCATGAGAGCAGGGAAAATATAGCTGCCCATCATAAACTGAAAATACGACAGATCAGAGATACATTTTTGTGTAGCTAACCTACAGAGCATCCCAGGGAAGCATGGCCCAGAACACTGATACATCTTACAGTCGGGCAGAAACATCTAACATAAAGCCTACTTTCTGATAAAGTGTTAGACATCCCACTGAACTGGCTGAATCGTGTGCTGACCGTGAAAAACAGAAGGGCTGATGGATAGAGACGTCCGCACCATTGCAGAACTGAGAAAATGTTCCGCCCCACCAAGGTAGGCAGAGGATCGTCTGTACGCCTGTCTCCTCTTTCCAGAAGCAGGTGCAATTCAAAGTGTAGAACTTTTCAAATCATTTCCGTGAGATGTGAGTGGTGAACGGGGCTGGCGGGCCCCCACTTCTCTGACGTGACAGATTGAGGGGACAGTGTCTTACACGGACAATTGTGATGCTGCTGAGATGTCTTGAGAAATGGGGGGCACCGGGCCCTAAATAATATAGAGTGTTAGCAGGGTGGGGTGGCGATGTGCCAGGCTCTTAGGGCCTGCTGTCCTGGGAGACTCCAAAACGTAAGTCTAACAGCTATGGAAGCAAAGCGCTTGCTGGGTCCCTGGAGTCCAGAGGGCCCTTAGCACAGGCTGTGGTGCCCACAGGGTGTTGTGCGCTGGCTGCTCAGACGGGAAGAGGCTCTGAGGTGCGGTGCTGCCTTTACCCTTCACCCTTCCAGATGTTACATTAGCATTTTAATAGGGGCTTTCTGAGCTGCCACCCCAGGAGTCACTGTGCCCCAGGCTGCCGAGGAGCAGGTGTTGCCAGCCTGGAGATCCCCAGCTAGTGTTCCTGCAGAGAGGCCTCCTGCTGCCTCTGGACAGGACAGGGTGTGGGAAGGAGGAGGGCTGCCTCCTCGGAATGGGAGGAAGACAGAGGGGCAGCGGGAAGACGGAAACAGGTTAATTCTTTCTCGGTCCTGGATGAATAATCGCATCTGCTTGGAAACAGCAGATTCCAGGGGTGTGACTGTGTTAATTGTTAGCCTGGCAGGGATGAGGGAGGACAGGACATGGGATGGGAATACTAGGTGAAAGAGAGGGTTTCGGTGCCTGTTTCCTGTGTGGGAATAAGTGTGATGGGGTAGTTAAGACTGCACACCAGGACGATGTGGTGAGGAGCCTGTATGTGTGTGTGTGTGTCTGTGTGTGTGTGTCTGTGTGTGTGTGTCTGTGTGTCTGTGTCTGAGGCTGTCTGTGTGAACCTGCAGACCTGTATTTGAGCTGGGCCTGAGAATGGCACCAAACATTCTTCAGACCTATGCCTTATTCCTGTGATAGTGGATACAACTAATACCATTCCGCTAAGAAGCCTTACCTCAGGCTCCTCTCACTACCCAACCCCATGCCTGCGTTACCCCAGGCCACAGCTGAAACCAAGCATTGTGCTACTTCCCATGTCTTGAGTCCTTTGGGGTTCTCCTTGCTTGTCTCTGCAGACCCGCTCCTGACCTGTGAGGAGTAACCCCTGGCCAGGCCTCACTGTTTCCCAGGGCACTTTCCCTCCTTGGCCTGCATCTGAACATTCAGCCTCCCACCGTTTCTCTTGCCTAGTGCTTTGCTCCCTGGCCTTGGAACCTCCGTCTCAGGTATGCTCGCTCACTTCACCTACTCATGCACCTGGCACCCCTTCCAGCTAGAGCAACCCAGTCTCTAGAGCAGTGCTGGAGAGAACCTCTCTCCATGGGCCTGCCTGCACTCCCCAGAGGCCTCAGCACCTTTCCAGGTCCTGGTGGCACTTCCTCTTATTTCCTCCTCTGCCCTCAGATGACCTCACCCCCTTCAACAAAAGAAAAGGTCTTCTTCCCACAGATCAGCCCCCTGCTGTCCTGCAAAAGCTAGACTCCAGTTAACACCTGCCTCTTTAGCCCGCCCAGGGTGCAGTCAGCCCCCTTCTCAGAGAAGGTGTGATTCCCTGAAAGAGAATTTCCCAAGAGCCACACTGGGAAGTGATTGTTTAAAAAACACTGTACTAAAAGTCACTTTTCTGAAGCCGAATCCCACAGGCTGTCAAATCCCCCAGACTACCAAATCCCACAGGCTACCAAATCCCACAGACTACCAAATCCCATAGACTACCAAATCCCACAGACTACCATACCAAATCCCACAGGCTACCACCAAATCCCACAGACCACAAAATCCCACAGGCTACCACCAAATCCCATAGACTACCACCAAATCCCACAGGCTACCAAATCCCACAGGCTACCAAATCCCAAATAACTCCTCCCGCGACTCTTTGCAACTTCGCCACAACACGTCCCCTGCAAGTTCCTAAGTCTGTTTAGTATTCTTTCTTTTCTCTGGTTAGGCCTTAGGATTCATCTGGTGGAGATGTTTTATTTGGGGGTTTCTCTACCCTGTTTTCTATCAGGTTTGTAGGCATGTGGTTCCCATTTCTAGAGCCAACTTCTCTTCAATTGTCACGTATAAAAGTTTTGGCAATCCGCAAGGCTTCTCCAGTTTTAACATTTGCTTTGCAGGAAAGATGGCTTTGGCCTGCGAGGGCAATCTCAGCATCCATTTGTACCTACTCTGGCTCCAGAGTGGTTTGGCAGCCAGCCAGCTCAACTTTTTTTTTGTTTGTTTTTGTTTTTTTTCTGCAATGTTAATTTTCTCACATCCCATGACAATTTCCCCAATGACAAAGACCCCAGAGTGGGGACTGTAGGCTAATTCAGCCCCACGTCTTTCAAATTACAGCTGACAGTCAATGCAGTTGAGGAAAACCCATCCGCACGCACACATGTACACACACACACACACACACACGTACACACACACACACAGAAACAAATTAATAATACCATGCATCCAGGACGTCCTTCAATCTCTAAATGAGGAAACCCTCGTAAAGTCAACACTGCCCAGAGCTGGGCTGGAAGACCCTGAGCAGCGCGTCTGTCTAGTAAGCACACACCCAACACCAACCATCGAAATGAAAGTAACGCAAGGTAGAGAACCACCTAGGGGATTCTGCAGGCTTGTGGGAACCAGAGGACAAACACGATGATCGTTGTTAAAGTAATTAACCCAGACAACTTTTGGGTAAATTCCAGGGAGTGCTCACCAGGGAAACTGATCCTTCAACAAATTGGTTTCCAGTAAATTCTTTCCTGGCTGAGCGGCTGTGGGGGAATGGTGATTGGCCTAGACGGCGAATTGACCCCTTTCTTCGGCTTTTCTATTTTTTCTTTGTCTTTTCCTCTGTAGAGCAACAGGTACCAGGGCTGCTGAGCCCCCACCCCCTTCGTGCTCCAGTCAGTTGGGCTGGCCCTCATCACAGTCAAGGGGAAACGGCCACTCTGCCACCCTATGCTGGCCGACTCCCATTCCCGTTCTAACTCTGTGGCTATTGGACTGAGACTCTTGGCCTTAATTAAAGACTCCTTGTGCTGGAGTCCGGACCTCTCAATTATGCTGTGATGTCTCCTAGATGCTCAGAGTTCAGCGCGCTCAGTACTGAACTTGTCTTTGTCTCCCAAACATGTGCCCACTGTTGAAGACAAGGAGCCATTGGAAAACCCTTCCCCCACCCCCCACTGTCACCAAATGCAAACTGGGGAGCAGCTCTGCCACCTCTACCAGCTGCTACCTGCTGGAGCCCAAGGGTGCGTGACTTCTTTGGGGAAAGACCACTGCCCTTGGCCTGCCTTTTTTTTTTTTTTTATAAAATCTCCCAGCATAGCTTCCAGGCAGATCTTTCAGAATTGTTTGGATTAATCATGCCCTCCTCCTATTGGTGGCCTCAACCCTCTCACAAAGCAAAGAGCACCGAAGATGACATATCAGATATACAGTACTGTATATAATTTCACTTCTCTTTCTGGTCCCCAAATTCAGTTCGAGTTTTGTGTCATCTCGGAAGCTTGCCTAGGCCACTGCCTTCCCCGGGATTTCTGTGCTCGGCTATCGGGATTCTCACGGTACTGTGGTCACTAACTGATATAATAATCATATTTGAGAGTATAGGCCAAAATCAAATCTAACCTGGCTTTTTTTTTTTTTTGCGAAGCAGGGTTTCTCTGTAGCTTTGGAGCCTGACCTGGAACCAGCTCTTGTAGA